GCTCTGCTTTGCCCCTGGACTGGAGCAATTAGTGCTCTGTAGTGCCAGCCAAGTCTCAGTCTTCCCAGGGTGGTAGCTCCTGGTATTCCTCCCTTTGCTTTTGTCTCTGGCCTCTGGCCTTGGTGCTCCCAGTCCTGTGCTCCCACTGGCACCTTCAGATGGTGTTGTAGGTTTGAGCATTACATTTGCTGTCAGAGACATGATATGCCATGACCCAGCTCTGGGCAGCTTAGCTTTTGGAAAACCATTTGCAAAAGTTCATCAGAGGGTGCTGCAAACAGCCCACACCAGCCTGGTATGTACTGTGCCAATATAGACCCTGCAGACAGTCCCGCAAAGACTGGGAGGCTGCGTGGGGATCCGTGAACTGGGACAAGGCACCTATTACAGATTTGACTGTTCTGTGGTCCATCTATCTGAGGTGGTTAACTTCCTGACTTGTAATGGATACATCTGCTGTGGAGCTATCAGAAACACTGCTGTGCTTCAGGCTGTAAAGCTTGAAAGGTGAGCAAGTCCTTTGCCTGTTGTGCTCCCTGCAAGCTATAGTACTTCCCAGGCTGACCTGCTGTAGCAAAGAGGTCTTTCTGCTCTCAACTCTTGGCTTCAGTCCCCTCCCAGATAAGCAAATGGTCAATTATAACCGGAGATGAATCAAATGCAACCCATTTTAGCTGCCAGCACATCTAGGATTTGTGCATAAACACGCTCATATCCACTGCCTGGGCAGAAGAGTAAAAGGTGGGTGCAAAGGGGAATTGGCAGATGAAGAGAAAAGGCATAATGCTTGAAATGGACTTCACTCAGTGTGCTATAATGCATGTTAAAATGCTGCTTTAAAATTGGTAAATCTTAGCAGGGAAGCTCAGAAGAGCTGTACTGGTGGTAATGTGTACTCAGCTGTGTTTCTGCACCACTCGCTGGGCAAGTGGATGTCCAGTTCATAAATGGTTTGCTTCCTGCCAACCCAGGATGGGTGCAGGTTTGTGGAAAACAGAGTGGGGACCAGGGCCCTCTGCACAGGGACAAAATCTGAAAAATGTAAGAACAGTCTAAATCACAATCAGTTTAAAATGGCATTCAAACTTGTCACCTTCATTCCTCTCCCAGGAGTCAGCAATTGAGCTCATATTTGCCGCTTTTTTCACCACGGCTAGTGCCAGCACTTCTCTGATCCTCCTGCTACTGAAGCACCCCTCAGTGATTGAAAAAATAAGGCAGGAGCTGATGTCCCATGAACTGTATCAGCAGTGTGAGTGCCACCCTGCAGGACCCTGCCCGGACACCCTGACCATGCAGAGCAGGGACAGAGAGAAACCACGTTTCCACTCCACGGCCAAAGATGTTCAGAAGGATCAGAGCCAGCTCCCGGCCTCAGTGGAGGAAGGTTCCCTCCAGTCCGGTGCCCTGCTGGAGCCCACCGTCCCCCAGAGCGACCTCTGCACTGGCTCCCAGCTCCAGGCACCATCAGGGCAGAGCTGTCACTGCTCCTCGGACATCAGCCTGGAGAAGCTGAGCCGCCTGCGCTACCTGGACTGTGTGATTAAGGAGGTGCTGCGGGTGCTGCCCCCAGTCTCCGGAGGCTACAGAACGGCACTGCAGACTTTTGAGCTCGACGTAAGTGCCTTGCAGGCTGTTAGGGAACTGCTGCCTGTCACTGTGTGCAGGCACAGCACAGTGGTGGTGCTTGGCAGTGTAGCTCAGGGGGAGGTGGCACCCAGCAACCTCTGTGGGTCCCAGCTCGGCTGGGGAGAAAAAGAGCTACAGAGCAGGTGGGCAGTATGTTGGGGCTGTCCTCAGGCACCCTCTGCTCACCCTCTACTAGCACGGGTACGTAACACTCCTCTCCTCCCCTTTTCTCTCCCCTCCCAGGGCTACCAGATCCCCAAAGGCTGGAGTGTCATGTACAGCATCCGTGATACACATGAGACAGCTGCTGTCTACCAGAGCCCCCCCAGCAGCTTCGACCCAGACCGCTTTGGTGCCACCCGGATGGAGGCTGCAGGCCGGTTCCACTACATCCCCTTTGGTGGTGGGGCACGGAGCTGCATCGGGAAGGAGCTGGCACAGGCCATCCTCAAGCTGCTGGCCATTGAGCTGGTCAGCACAGCCCGCTGGGAGCTGGCCACCCCTGGCTACCCCGCCATGCAGACCGTGCCCATCGTGCACCCCGTTGATGATGGGCTGCAGCTCTACTTCCACCCCCTGTAGCCTGGCTGTGGCTGTGGGGCCTGAGCTAGGGGTACACTGCTCCCCTCAGCCCTGGAGTTGATGGCCCTCCACAGCTACTGGGGGCAGGTCTCCACTGCCTCAGGCTGGGTATGGCACTGGGTCACTGCAGAGCAAAACCTAAAGGTCTGTTTTTCCCCTCCTAGTGTACAGGCTGGTAGGGAGAGTCCTGCAGAGTCACACTCCTGAGCGCTAGGGTGAACCTCAGCCCCAGCCTGGGGGCAAAACCCACCGAAGTTGCTGGCGGGGAGCATATGCCATGGGGCCTCAGCCAGCCCCCACTCCATAAAGGTCTCCAGCTATCAGAGATGTGGAGCAAAACTCAGGCCTACAGCTAAGGCTCCCAGAGCATTTCTATCCCTGGGTTGTCTCCTGCGGGTGTGTTATAGGAGAGGGCAGGATGAACATCCTGAACACTGTAGCTTTTTAGATGTAAAAAGAAGAAAGATGGGGGGCTCTGCAGGAAAATACAAGCCAGAGCTGCTCAATTCATGGCATCAGCTCTAGCTAGAATAATAGGGTGTAAAGTGGTTTTTATTGTAAATATTTAATCTCATTCCTGCACTTCCCATTAGAGCTGGCACAAAGAGGATATCTCTCAGTCACCCAGTAGTAGTAGCTGTGTATGTTGTGTTGAGCACTGTGCTGCTGCTTGGAGTCTGCCATGAAGCCCCATTCTGCTGTCCCCACAGGATGTGCTCCCCAGCTACAAGTCCAATCCTAACCACAGGATCAAACTGAAGCATGGGAGGGGGCTTTGGGGAGCAAACATTTAGAAAATGGACATTTCTGAATATGTCTGATTTGTGGTAGAAAGTCCCTTGTTCCTGGTGATGCTCTTCACATTGCAGAGGGGACATTTGCAAGGTGACACAGGCTCTGTGGTGGCTGGCTGGCCAGACTGACCTTGCCAGCTCTGTCAGCCTAGCTCTGCCAGTGAAAGTGCCAGGACAGCAGCTCCATGGGTCCATCCACAGGGTGGAAGCTGGGGCTAAGCTTGGGTTCTGAGAGCACCTTTCTAGATGGTTTTTGAGTACCTCCACAGGGTGTTTCTCTCCTATGTAAAATGAAGTGAGTCCTGTTGCTTGTGTACTGATAACAGAACTAGAGCCAGGTCCTTGATCCACAACAATACGTTTATAAGCTTCTTTCAGCTTCCTCTTTGCTCCCCACTGTCATGCATCCTGTGTGGATGCAGTGGGGAAAATAATCTGCCTTGTTCCTCCAGAGCATCCTGTGTCTGGTGGTGTGGTGTGCTCTGTGTGAAGCACCAGCTTGACCTGTGAGGGCCAAAATGTGGCACAGTGTCCCTTTGGAAAAGGCCCTGAGAGCTTTTCAGTCTACTGAAACTCTGTCATCATCCTGCTTCGGTGCCAGGCTACAAATGACCTCACCCTGGCCAATCCCCCTTGACTGTGCTGGGGCACTGCAGCAGGGTGTGTGCCGCTGTTGGCTGTCTGAGGGCTGTGCAGTGACCACTCCTGGGGCAGAAATGTAGCTCCCAAATGTAACAGGTCAAATCTGGAGGTTGAGCTGCAGGGCTGAATTAAGTGCTGTTGGCAGGCCGGCCCTGTAGCAAACCAGAGCCTGTGCCCCTCGTGACCTTGTCCTGAAAGGTGAATCTTTTACTTATCAGAGGTGAAATTAGTAGATGGTGGGTGCAAGTGGCAATGACTAACTTTAATTAGCAGGAGCTGCTGGCCGACTGAGACCGCAGGCGATTCGGGGTCTCACCGCAGGCAGGGCTGCGGGCAGGGCTGCGGGCAGGGCTGCGGGCAGGGCTGCGGGCAGGGCTGCGGGCAGGGCTGAGCCCGGTGCAGAAGGGTCGGGGCTTCTCCAGCAGCGCACTTAAAAATTACCCCGAGCGCTAACGAGCCCTGTAGCCACCCGCTGAAAAATGTAACATGAATCTAGTTAAAAAAAAAAAAGACTTGAAACTGATTTTGTTTGCAGATAAACACGAGCATTTACAAATGAAGTGTAATAATTGTTACTTGTAATCAAAGTTTGTTCATATTAGGCTGTTAATTTCTTGACCCCCTTCCAAGATGTTTTTAATTATCCCTTTCACTCTTTACCATTTGATTCTTTTCAAGCCGGTGGCTGGGGAATACACAGCTGGGGAGATAATAAAGCCTTCCTGTGGCAATTATCGGTGCTCAGGCCACCGTATCTCGTTATTTTGATAGACAGTGAACTTGGCGCGGTTGCCGGCCGGGTTCACGCAGATGTCACGGTCCGTGTTGTAGGTCACAAGCAGGTCAGCGCCCGGCAAGGAGAGAGCGCCGGGTCAGGGCGCGGCCGCCGCTCTCGGACGGGCTCCACGGAGCCGCCCGGGACCGCGGCGTACCCCGAGGGGCTGCTGCCCCCGGGGCCGGGGAAACTATCCTCCGGGGGTGTCCCTCTTGGGTAACAGGGTACGGAGGCGGGCAGCCCCGCTCCCGCAAGGCATCGTAAGAGGAGGGAGGGTCCCGTGTGATGCGTTCATTGCTAGAAAAATAATAATTAAAAGTGACATCTCCCTCTCCCATACACAGGCACACACACAAAACTTCCAGCGTTTATTGGGCTTGTCTGGGAGCAATAAAGCAAAAGTATCAGAGAGGGAAGAGGTAAAAACTGTAAAAAAAAAAAAAAGAAAAAGAAAAAAGCGAGCGCGGTAGTTTATTGGCAGCAGCCGTGCCCGGCGGAGAGCTCCGCGGCCCCGCAGCCGCGCTCCGTGACTAGCACCCCTTCCCCAGCGGCTTCTGCGCCGGGACACGGCGGCCACCTCAGCCCCAGCCGGCACAGCCCGCCCAGCCCCGCCGGGCGCCCCGGTACCGCCGCGCTCCTCCCGCTCGGGGCCGCAGCTCCCGGTGCCTGCCCGCGGGCACCGGGAGCGAGCCCCTCTGCGGCGCGCCTGCAGGCGGAGGGCCCGCCGGTGCTGAGCGCCTCTTTCCGACCGCGGCAGCCCCGACGGGATGCCAGGCAGCCTCAGGCGAGGGTGAGCAGTGGATCCCGGGGAGAGGAGCTGGGCACGGCGGGTTTGGTGTTTCCTTTCCGCCCTCACCTCCCTTTCCCTCGGTGACCCGCGCTTGAACCTGCATCGAGAGGCTGAGACGGACTGTAGCCGGCGGCTCCTTCCTCCGCGGCCGGCAGAAATACAAGCCGGGCCTTTCGAGGTGAACCAGGGGACAGCGGAGGCTCCTCCGCCGATGCGGCGGCACTGCTGCGGCTCTGCCCGGGGTGCCGCCCGGCTGCCCCAGCACCGGGGACCCCTCGGTCCGGCTCCTCCCGGCTCCGGCCGCTACCTCGCCGTTCCGGGCCGGCGACAGCGGCGAGCGAGCGAAGGAGCTCCGCAGCTCGCAGAGCGCATCGGCACCGGCCGGGCAGCGCGCCGGGGGTAGGTGTCTGCGGGCAGCCGAGCCTCCGGGTGCTGGCGCGGGACATTTCTCGGCGCAGCTGCTGGTCTGTGACGAGCATCGGCGATAAATCCGAGGAGCAGGAGGAGGAGGTGGCCGCCACCAGTTGTCAGCAGCGTCCCGCAGCCTACTCGCCGAGCGCGGTGCAGGGGCAGCGAGCCCAAAGGCTCTGCCGTCGCTCCCGGCGGCACCTTTCCTTCCCTGGCAGCGATCTGCGGCGGGCAGGATGCACTACGCAAAGCAAATAGTTAAAGATTTCGGGGGGAGGAGCCAGGCCGCAATCCGCAATTAAAGATGAACTTTGGGTGAACTAATTTATCGGACCAAGGTAGGGTGGGCAGCAACCTGGGAAGGGTATAAAAGGCGGCCCGCGGCGAGCCCGGCCCGCGCACTCGGAGCTCCCAGGGGACCAGGCGGGACTCGCTCCCCAGTCATGGGCTTCTCTGTCCTGGTCGCCAGCGCCCTGTGCACCTTCCTGCTGCCCCTGCTACTGTTTCTAGCCGCCGTCAAGCTCTGGGACTTGTACTGCGTGAGCAGCCGCGACCCCAGCTGCCCGCTCCCACTGCCCCCGGGCACCATGGGGCTCCCCTTCTTCGGGGAGACGCTGCAGCTGGTGCTGCAGGTAAGGCGAGGCGATGTCGCGGGGAGCGGAGGGGCTCCCCGGCTGCTGCTCTGGCTGCAGGGGAGGGAGATGAGCAACAACTTTGCCAGGCTCCCGCGCCCAGGTGGGAAAGAGCTGCTCTCCCTGTCTCTTCCTCTCCTCCCTTTTAAAATTTATTTTATCATTCTCCCCTCTCCTCCCCTGTCCAGAGGCGGAAATTCCTACAGATGAAGCGCAGGAAATACGGGTTCATCTACAAGACTCACCTCTTCGGGCGGCCCACGGTGCGGGTGATGGGCGCCGAGAACGTGCGGCACATCCTGCTGGGCGAGCACCGGCTCGTCTCTGTGCAGTGGCCCGCCTCGGTGCGCACCATCCTGGGCTCGGGCTGCCTCTCCAACCTCCACAACGGGCAGCACAAGCACCGCAAAAAGGTACGGCCCGACAGCGGGCGGGGAGCGGGCGCGGTCGCCCCGGACGCGGCGGCTGAGCCTCTGTCCCGTTCCTCCTCGTCCCCTCGGGCAGGTGATCATGCGAGCCTTCTCCCGGGACGCCCTGCAGCACTACGTGCCCGTCATCCAGGAGGAGGTGAGCGCCTGCCTGGCGCGGTGGCTGGGCGCCGCCGGGCCCTGCCTGCTGGTGTACCCCGAGGTGAAGCGCCTCATGTTTCGTATTGCCATGAGGATCCTGCTGGGCTTCCAGCCCCGCCAGGCCAGCCCCGACGGCGAGCAGCAGCTTGTGGAGGCCTTCGAGGAGATGATCCGCAATCTATTCTCCCTCCCCATCGACGTGCCGTTCAGTGGGCTCTACCGGGTAAGGCTCACGGTGGGCTAGGAGGAGAGAGGTACCTCTGCAGCCGGGGCAGCGGGGAACGGGTGGGAGGGATGGCAGTACAGCCCAAGTTCCACACTGCTCTCCCTGCTGCTTGGTCAGGGCTTGCGGGCACGCAACATCATCCACGCCAAGATCGAGGAGAACATCCGTGCCAAGATGGCCCGTAAGGAGCCCGAGGGCGGCTATAAGGATGCGCTGCAGCTGCTGATGGAATACACGCAGGGCAATGGGGAGCAGCTAAACATGCAGGTAAGGTTCCCCAGGGCCAGATCCATCCCCTTCCTCCAGCCCCCTTGTCAGCATCACACTTATCTTTTGGATAAAAAGGAAGGAGCAGGAGGTATTCCCTTTCCCCATGAAATAAACCAGCTTGTGTTGAGCACTGGGGCACAGAGGTTGCAACCAGGCTGTTGGATGGGGAGCATAAGCACCTCCATCCTGGCCCCTGGGTGTCTGCTCTGTTCTGGCAGCAATGCACAGCATTGCAGTGGAAGAATGGTCTTGGTGGAGATACTGGTTTAGTGTCTGGTTTAACCCTCTTCTTTCCTTTGTGTAAGGAGCTGAAGGAGTCTGCCACAGAGCTGCTGTTTGGGGGACATGAAACCACTGCTAGTGCTGCCACATCACTGATTGCCTTCCTAGGGCTCCACCACGAAGTCCTGCAGAAAGTGAGGAAAGAACTGCAGGTGAAGGTGTGTATCTTCCCCAGAACCATTTCAAGGAGGGGGCAGTGGGAAGTACCTCCGGGACAGGTGTCCCAGACAGGGCTCCCTTTAACCCAGGTGGTACCCTACTTTTAGGGGTGGCAGGATAATACAACTCACTGAGGGGGGCAGCTCCTTTGCAGTCCAGGAGTGCTGGCTGCCCGCTCCGTGAAATGTCATGGCAGCATCTTCCTTTCTAGGGGTTACTGTGCTGTTCCAACCAAGAGAAGCAGCTGGACATGGAGGTCTTGGAGCAGCTGAAGTACACGGGCTGTGTCATCAAAGAGACCCTCAGGCTGAGCCCGCCTGTTCCTGGAGGATTTCGAATTGCACTCAAGACCCTTGAGCTAAATGTAAGCAAGGCTTGGGTACAACTCCTCAGAGCAGCTGCAAAGTACTAGTGCTTTCGCATAGCCTGTCTGCCTTAGAGTGGCCTGCAGGAAGCCAGGAGGGGGAGGTGGGGCGAACCTATGTGTCCTACTAACACAACAAGGTGCTTCACGACTTCTTTCTCTTCTTTTCGTAGGGTTACCAGATCCCTAAAGGTTGGAATGTTATTTACAGTATCTGTGATACCCACGATGTGGCAGATCTCTTTACCAACAAGGAAGAATTTAACCCGGATCGCTTCATGTCTCCATCTCCAGAGGATTCCTCTAGGTTCAGTTTCATTCCTTTTGGTGGGGGCTTGAGGAGCTGCGTGGGCAAAGAGTTTGCAAAAGTCCTTCTAAAAATATTTACAGTGGAGTTGGCTCGGAGCTGTGACTGGCAGCTGCTGAATGGACCTCCTACAATGAAAACGGGCCCCATAGTGTACCCTGTGGACAATCTGCCTACCAAATTCATAGGTTTCAGTGGCCAAATCTGAGAGCTCAACACTTGCCTCTGACTGGATTTCTATATAGCATCTAATATGTACATAGTAACTTTTTATAGTAACAAAGACCTTTAAATATTTAAACTTGTAAATGTACAATAGTTATTTATGTCTTCTAAATATTTTGAAACGCTATGATATTTTTTTTTTCCCCAAGCACTACAATTATGGGTCTCTGATTCATAATTAGACAATGTTATTTCTATAGAAATAAGTTTTCCCCTATTTAAAAATCTCATTGAAAGCTGGCCAGCTAAGCATTTGAAGACATTTCAGGATGGCATATGTAATAAGAAATATTCTAAAAGCATTCAAAAAATGGTAACTAACTACTCATGCAAGTTACCTGAAATGATTATTGTTTGAGAATGTTTTCAGTATTATTTGTGTCTAGATCTTATGTTTAATGTGTGAATTTTAAGTTTGATAATAAAGTTTATTTTTGATGATCCTCTGTATGAAGATCTGTGTGTCTGCTAGAGAGTAGCTTAATGAATGGGGCTCAAGAGTTTGGATGTAAAGTCAGATCTGCTTTTGTGAATGACGTACTTGCTATTTCTGTGCTCATAACTCTTCCCTGCCTCCCCTCTTCACCTGTGGTTCTTGCTTGTGAATTATTCTAAGTTTTAGCCTGTAAGTGCAAGAGCAATGCAAAAACACATGCTTATTGAAAAGAAGTGATGACAAGTGCTACAGGTCTCCTTATCAAGCACGTCATTTTGAGTCACAGTAAATAAGAGAGTAAAGGAAAGCAGAAGAATAATGTGTTACATGAGTCTTTGTAACTAGAGAAAATAGGTTGAGGAAAAAAAATTCCATAAATGTCCTCTCTTCCCATATTATTGCTGACCTGTGCAAACAGACCACTGGATCTTGTTCTGTGTTGAGTCTGCTGGCTATGAATCTTTACTTACGAAGGTGTCTCTTATCAGCTGGTAGAGCAAACAAAATCTGCTGATTTCTTCTTGAAATGCAACAGCTCTGGCTAGGTCAGAGAGAGAGCATGCATTTGATTTAAGAACTTCTTTCCTGGAATTCAGCAAAGTGAAAACTAAAAGGCAGGCACTAATGTGAATTGATTAACAGAGAATCGACTGTTGAGATGCAATTCCCCAGGGGTGTGTAAGCAGGGCAGATAAAATGCCCTAGGCATGACCCCTATTTTGGCTTAACCATAAGGGGGTTTGTGCCCACCCCCGCTTACTACACCTATTAGTCTTCCTTCAAAAGTCAAACAACATAGGCTGGCTTTATAAACATCTACAAAGTAAACCAATGTAATTCAGTGTCATGAACACTTATAGCACCACATAGACTAATTTAATTTTCTGTTTGCTTCTGGAAAACAGTCACTTTTTCATTACGTTCTCCCAAGATCAAAATTAAGTATTTAGTTAAGTTGCTCAAAATAGCTGCAGGTGCTTAATAGCATCTATGAGATTTGGGATTTCTTTTTAAGGAGTGTTTCTATTACACATTTGATGTGTTTCCAGCTACCATTTTAAATACATAAGCTTCTAACTTATGGCCTTAGATACAAGCTACATATGAGTTTAACTATCAAGAAATTTTCATATTCACTTTTTTGTAATTTTAAAATACAAGATATATTCTATTTAGATTGTACCTTTGTCTTCTTGGCAATGTTTAAAATCTTAAATATTTTTTTCCCATGCAAACCTCTTGTACCATTATGTTCTCAGGGACTTGATGAATGACCTCAGTTTAAGACCCTTTTATAACATATATAGTAGCAGAAAATTACAAACCTTGGTCCTGATTCAGAGGTGATCTGAAGTCTGGAGAACAGCAAGACTCTTGTCTTGGTATCCTTTCCTAACATTTTCTTCCATAACATTACAACGTTCTGCAAATCCAGATAGATGCTGATATTCTTTAAATGTTATGTTTGGTTTTAATGGAAGTCTTTTATAAGTAGGAACTTTTTACATGGCTTCCTACTATTTTAGTTTATATTTTATTTTTATAATGAATAGGAATCTAAGTGCTGTCTGGAGAATACAAACACTTTCACAGTGTAAGTCCAAGGTCATATGTGCAAATTTCATTTTTGGTTTTGAGTCAAGTTTGTGTGGCTTTTGTGTTCAAAGAAGAAAAAAATCATATACTTCATTTGATTTTGTCTGGACATCTGGGAGCACATCCTAAGCTGTTGTAAATCATGACAACATAGCCTATGTTAGGTACTGCCCCTGTAATAATTTATTTCTGTAGTTAAGCGGTCTGTCACTGCTGTGCAATTTAGGCATCCTGGAGCTAGTTTTAAACAGCTATCTCAAGAAATGGGAGCAGTGTAGTTACAGTAAAACGGAGCTCTGTGTGGGTTAATTGCTAAAATGTTTGCCCAACTTCTTGAGCAGGTTTTACAATCCCTGCTAATCTCCTCTTGCAGCTGTAT